TCAGCAGATGAGTTTAGCTGGAATCTGGAATGCAGAGCAGACAGGAAGATTGAAGCAAGACTGAAAACATGTGAAATTGGTCAGAAGGGAGAGCGAAAAGCCTTGAATTCACAGACACATCCCAGGCAGGAAGCCTAATTAATGAGGGGAGGAATTCTGGGACTCTTAATGAAGGACATCAATGAGTAAGAAACCCATGGGAAGTGAATGCATTAGGTTAACATTAGTTTTACAAAATCCTAATTATGTTTATAACCAAAACCCTCAAAATGTTAAAAAAAACCCTTCATTTTTGTGACTGTGGGCCAAAATTCTGCAAAGCTTCACCACGGGGCACGCGGACACGGCAAAATGCCAACCCTCCTGTGCCGAGGAGTGTTCCCTGGCATCAGGAGAAGGCCTGGTACAGCCGAGACCAAATCCCACCAGCACTTCCTATGTAGCAGGCAGTGCCTGCTCTCAGCTATCCCACTCCGAGGAAGCTCCGTGCAGCTCCAGCTCATCAGCTGTGCTGTGGAGGCAGCGTGTGGGCAGGCACTGTTTTCCAAGGAAAGCAGTGCCCACATGCTGACATACACCGGGGAACAGGGAGAGCGAGAATCCGCCACATTTCCAATTAAAATCATGGGGTTAGCACGGAATAAATAAATCAGAGCCCTCATGCACATCGAGCCATCTTTGGATTCACCAAGGGAGTCCAAGTTTTAAAGCTTCCCATGTTTTTGTGTAGGGCCATAAAGCCAATCACACACATCCCTCTCCTGGCATACGAGGAAACTGGGATTACAGCCCATTTCTCCACATTTTTAGTGCTTTAAGGCAGCTATCAGGTCATTTCCCCATTTTTCATGGGGAAGGATGCAAAAAAAAGCGAGCAGAATGCAGGGGTGATTTCACACCGGGCCCAAATGCCTCAATTTTGCAGCCTGTGGTCGTGTCCTGTTGGGACAGCTCTGGCAGGAGCCCCACGTGGTCCCTGGGAGGCTGAATTCCCATTCCGAGGAGCATGATGGTGCTGGGAAGGCATTACTGCAAGGGCACTGTATCAACAGAACTGGGCTAAGTCCATAAAGGGGAATTTCCATTAGGATGCTAATGACTTCAGGAAGCAAAGGTAATATTTGAGTTCCGACTGACAAGTCTGGCTCGGGAGAAGGGGATTTGGCTTTGCACAGCAAACAAGGAGAGGAGCAGGAGGCTGCAGTGGGAACAGCCTCTGGAATGAGGGTGGCTGAGGGGGGTGAGCCCTGTCCACCAAAACCCACATGGGTGGGTGGGCTCGTGGCCACAGCAGTGCCAGGCTCTAACCACCTTACTCTGATCTGCTTCTCTGGCCTATTATATCTTTTATTGCTATTATATTGCCTATTACCTTCCTTATTCTATACCTCTGCACTCCTGTTTGCACTGAGAGGAGCTGCACCATGGCACAGCCACTGCACAGGGGGTTCACAGTGAGGCAGGGGGTGGCACGAGATGGCACATTGCCCAGAGCAGCTGTGGCTGCTCCATCCCTGGGAGTGTCCCAGGCCAGGTTGGATGGGGTTGGAGCAGCCTGGGCTGGTGGGAGGTGTCCCTGCCCAGGGCAGGGGTGGGATGAGATGAGCTTTAAGGAGCGTCCAACCCAAACCAGTCTGTGATTCCATGATTTAACAGGACAAGAGACTGTACAGAGCTACAAACCTCTCTGGGAGGTTTTATTTCTCCGTGTTTTCCCAAGGGGTGACCAAGCAGGCAGCACACTCACGGGCATTATTAAAACAGGTGCTCTCACAAGTGTGCTGCGATGCTCTGCATCAGCACTCCTGCCTTGGGGAGTTTTAACTATAAACTACAAGACTTCAGTGCTTCTGAACAGATGAAATTGTTCTCCTCGTCGGCACAGCGCCAGAATCCTCTTTAACACACGCAAATAAAACCAAACTGTGCATTCCAAAGCGCCGTGGGACCCGCCAGGGAGTCTCTCCAGGCTCGTTCATCCCCAGCAGAGCCTGTCACAGAGGGCACAGGTTCTGAGGATGGTACCTGTAGTAACCAGGCATGACGATGTGCACCCCCGCGCTGGGCTGACAGATGTTGGGCACCTCCTGATCATCCATTTTGCGCACCGAGTCTGTGAAAGGTCCCGTGGCATTGATAACACACTTGGCTTTGACATCAAACTCCTGCCCTGTGAAAGAAAACAGTATCAATCACAGACACCATTTGTTTCCTGCTCGCTGACGCTCTCGGTTATTAATCTCTCGATGGACTCAGCCTACTGTAAAGCGTGTCCTGCGTGTCTGGTGGGTGCTAAGAATTAACTAAGTGTTCACGCCACACCAGACTCGAAGCAGAACGTTGTGGGGAGAAATTCCAGCTTATCTGTAAGGCAGGAGAGGTGGCGGGGTGGGAACTGCTGGGCTCCAACCTGCCTCCCAGGGAGAGAGATTTCCATCTCACCCGGCAGCTCGGTAAATGGGATTATACGGAGCCTTTCCCAGTCCCATCTCGGCCTGGCAGAGGGTTTGGATGCACAGCTCAGCCCGCTCTGCCAGGAGAGCGGGATTCGGGCGAGGAACGGGACAGAAGCCCAAGAGGAGTGAGGCTAAGGGCACGGCCCCGAGGATGGCTCCTTTGCTGTGGTCCTGCTGTCCCTCCTCCCTCGCTCCCTCGGGCCGTGCCATGCCCGGGTGGCACACACACCTGTCAGCACGTCCCTGCAGCGCACGCC